ATCTATCTATCTATCTATCTATCTATCTATCTATCTATCTATCTATCTATTGGTCTTTCTGCAAGAGCGAGATATTTACAAGTAAATAGTTTCATTGGAAACTGTGTGGAAGTAGGATCCCTGAACTTTGTATTCCTTGTAGTTATTTTGCATTGTGTTTTTAATTTTGAGGGAACTGCTTCTGAAAATGTGTTGCATTGCATCTCTGCAGGTTGTTGGAGGAGGAACTGGAGGCAGATGTTTCCCTGTATGCAGACTGTGGTTCAGCCCGAGCACACAGAGCCATGCTATTGGCCCGAGCTCCACATGTCCTGCAAGGACAGAATCACAAAGATCCCATTATTGTCCATCTGCCAGGCTATGAGCTCCCTGCCCTGAAAGATTTTCTTATGTAGGCACTCCATTGTTTTGCATTTGCTGATTTAGGCAATCTGTATTTCTTTCACAAAAAAGTATTTTCTAAGTTCAAACCTGATTCAGCACCTTTTTGTTTAGTTTTACATTATTTCTCAACATGCTTTTTATTTGCTGATGTACATGACCTTAATCTGTTAGTATCTTTGACTCTTAATTATACATCGGCTATTAACAAGCCAAAGGGTGTTGGATTTGATTGATTTACTACCCCCCACACTATAGTTAATATTCACTATTCACTGCTACTGTTCAATAATCTTTGTCTAAAAGGATGGTCTAAATGTGGAGTGACTTGTCCTCTAGTTCCACATTTCATACTGATTGAATGCATTTAGTACCTTTTGTTTTTATTGCCAGCAGTCAGGAAGATGTTATATGGCAGATTGTAAATGGATTCAGCTGTTATCATTCACACCTGTGGTATAGCACTAATACGGGTTTGTGCATAGCAACAGGTTAGTTGTAATGCAAAGTAACTTCATCATCCAACGGAGGCAGAAAATGCTGCACAGTTCAGGATGCGGCATATTGTGTGGATGTCGCCACAGTGCTTGAAATGATTGCATTTAAATACACCTGAAAATCCTTATTTTAATTAACGATCAGAATCTAACCCTGCAGGCAGGTGTACACAGCAGACCAAAGTATGCGAACAACTGAACGGGTCTCAGATTATCCTCCACAGCCAGCAGACCTTCAAAGTCCCACAGACTCAGGTGAATAGATCAACAGGTGTGTTTATTCAGTTCTGTGACCACTCAGCTGCCCTCCTCCATCTGCATTCCTTACATAGTTTTAGCTGAATCATAATCCACTTATAAACTAATCATATTCAAATCCCTGTTGTTGCTGCTGCTAATTACCGCATGGCCATGCTAAATACATGACTGAGCATTTATTTTATTGAAGTTCTCCCAAAGCTTTTTTCCTCCTACTGATTATTCTCATTGTGTATTTCAACTCCTCTTTAGGCACTGGTATTCTTGAACCAGCCTCTGGGCTTGGAGCTGACTTGCTGGATCTTTACGAAAGAGGAGAGCAGTGTGACATCACCATTCAAGTAGCAGAGCAGGTCTTTTCCTGCCACAGGTATATTTATTTTTGGAGCCCTCCATATCCCTAAATATAGAATGTGTAAGTCATTGAGTTTTTTCAAGCTAGTAGTAGCAGCTTGTAACTATGGAGACAGGTTCCTGCACAGGGGAAAACCAGTCGGCACAGTCTCAGAAAGAAGCAGTACCCTATGTTCAGGTTGCTCTGCCACTGTGATCATTATGACACCAGTTTGAGCTGCAAGACAGAAACTGAGCTCAGGGGCCCAAAGCTCTACCTGATTGTTACTATTTATATATTTCCATCTCTGGAAATTTGCTATCCAGTTTGTAAAGATGATAAAGGTGCAAAATTGAAAGCTTCATTTTTAGTTTCACACATACAGTTAAAAAAATTCTAAACTGCATATAGGCAAATCTTCAGAGATTTAAGAGACAACATTTTTCTTGCCAGTCACCTCAAAGCCCATTCAGTATATACAAGCCAAGTACACAACACATGAAGTATCTAACAGTGGGTGTATCTGTCATGCAATTTCCTGCTTTATTGGGTTTCTAGGGCAATCCTGTGTGCGCGGTCTCAGTACTTCCGAGCTATGCTCAGTGGAAGTTGGATGGAGAGCTCTAGACAGTGCATCACTCTGCAAGGGTAAGACTAATATACCAGCATCATCTAAAAGCAGCACAAAAAGATCAGTAACAAAGCAGTTCTCTATGAGTCACAATTCCTTACAGCAGTCTGACTTACTGCAGTAACATTTGATGCCACACAACACAGACCTGACACACATTACCATGTTTTGACTTGTACGTAACTGTACGTAAACACAGACACCCACTTCTGGTGGAATCCTTATTCAGTAAATCTGCTGTTTTTCCTTTTATGAACACATAAATGTCTTCCATTAACTGAGCCCCCATAACCACCCACCTCCGTTACTACCCATTGTTTTTAGTAAAGGATTTTTTTTCTTCTGGGGAGAGAACTGTCATTTGTCTCAGCATAACTGATCTGAGGGTAACAGAGAAAGACATGGCTGTCAGAATAGAAAATGGCTCAGCTGACACACAAACAAAACCTGTGAGGTTGTCCTCAGTTTGCAGTTACATGCATGAAGCAGTGCATGATATATGGATTTAGTTTATAGGTTTGCCAAATGTATCAGTGGCCCAAAAGAAAATACCCAATATACATTGTATGCTTGTACTAATGTTAGCACATGCATATGTTTTATATGGGATTATAAAAACGGTTTCTTTTTTTTAAATATATATTTTTCAGCTTAGGACCAGATGAGATGGACATTTTGCTCCAGTTCATGTATGGAGCCATTGTCGATTTGCCTAGAGGAGCCAGTGCCAGGTATTGTATGTGAATAAACATTTGGTTCTAAAATCAGGACGCAGTACTGAGCACAAGCTGATCTGTATGTAATGTTTCCTGCCCAACAGTCAAGTGGTGTTGGCTGCTGACATGTTGGGTTTAGAGGGGCTGAAAGATGTTGTGGAGATGGTTCTTACTCGAGACTACTGCCGCTTCTTTCCTAAGGTTAGCTATACCAGAGAGTGCCTGAAAGGATGCTTTGCATTTCTGTTGAGTAGTAATAATTTATTGAAATGTATTTACGAAAGCAATAAAAATGATTTTGTTTGTTTTTCTAGCTTTCATTGGCACATTGTCACCATTTGCAAAATGACGAAAAAAAATTAATTCGATATTTATGCCTAAAAATGTTTTTTATAAGTCTATAATGAGTTTCCTGTAATATTATCTTAAATTTGTATTTCAGTGTCTTTTCTTCCAAACTTAAAATCAAAAGACGTATGAAGTGTATTTTTTTTAAATACCAATTTGATGAAATTTGATTTACTTTGTTTGAGTTTTTTTATTTCTCTATACTTGATGACTTTGCCTGCCCACATATTCTAAAAACCTTGTTGAGCTAATGCCTACTGTTTTGTGTGTTTCTTTCTTTGTTATCCCCCCCCCCCATATGTCAGCAGCCACTTGATGGGGTTCAGAGAACAGTTCTCGAGTGCCTATCTCTCACACAGGTCTTAGGCCTCCAAAACCTCCACATGCAGTGCATGAGGTAAGTTTCTGTTTACAGCACCAGTTCTCCACACTAACTGTCATTTAATTTACAAAACTGCCCTTATGTCTTTTAGTATTGTTTTACAGCTTGGTAATGTATCAAGATATTCAAACACTGGAAAAGGTTATTATATATTAAATTAAAT